GAAAAGCCCTAACTCGAAACCCTAAAGCATTTGGAGTGATCTTGAGCCATTTTTGTGTGTTTGTGGTTGTTTGAAGCTTGAAGAAAGAAGTGGAAGCTTGGTGGTTCCAGAAGAAACAAGTAGATCTAAAGGTTTGCTTCATTTCCATCTCATTCAAGGTAAAAAGCTTCAACCTTGACCATTTATCTCTTAGATCTCTAGTTAGGGCAAGTTTCTACCTTTTCTAGGTGTTAGTAGAGCCATTTTCGGGATTTGTGGTTTTAAGGGGGGTATGACTTCAGATCTGGAACCATTGGGAGTTCCCATGGCATAAAGGTGCCAACTTTACGGCCATGGGAGTCCCATGCATCATATAAACCTCATTTTGTAGTCTTTTGAGCAAAAAACCCCATGCATGAATGTCAAGATCGTAGATTTACGTGTAAAATGGACCCTAGGAGGTCAGATCTATGTGTTGGATGCATTAAGACCATCTGAAATCGACTGAATAGTTTTGGACATAGAGGGACTCGGCGAGTCAGGTTGCATTTTCCCTAAAACCCCTTCTGATAGCGAGTGTGTGTTGGTTTGGAAGAGGACTCAGCCAATTGGGTTCATTATGTACCTGAAGATCATCGTACTCGACGAGTTCAAGGTTGAACTCGGCGAGTCCAAGGCAATATTCCAAACATATGAAGATGAACTCGACGAGTTCAAGGATGAACTCGGCGAGTCAAGGACTAAACACCTTAACTCAGATGAAGATGAACTCGACGAGTTCAAGGATGAACTCGGCGAGTCAGTTGTAGAAGGTCCCTATTTTGTTTAAAGGAGAACTGCCCTTGTAAGGCTCGGCGAGTAGGATCGAGTCTTGACGTTTTCATGATCTAGGAACTCGACGAGTTGTGGGGCCAACTCGGCGAGTTGAGTCAGCTGGATGTTGACTTTGACCAAGGTGTTGACCTTGAATTTGAATTTGACCTGAGATGACCAGGAAATGGTAATTAAGGAATATTGTTATGTGTAGGATCTGAGAGGGGTTGATTCCGGCAGCAAGGACAGTTCATACACTTTACGAGGTGAGTTACCTTCCAGTAGAAGTGGGTCTAAGGCCACAATGCCGGCCCACTAGTAGGAACTTGTACTTAGATGATTGTCTGTGTGATAATTGTCTGGTATGCCACTATCTGTTATGTTCTATGTGCAAGTATGCTATGATTTTATGTGGTAGTGGTAGGGGTGAAATAGTCCCTGATATCCGGTTGAAAGATACCGAAGGGGAGGCCAACACCCGGATATGCTAGGCAGTTATCCGGTTGAAATAGACCGAAGGGGAGGCCAACACCCATATATGCTAGGCATCTATCCGGTTGAAATAGACTGAAGGGGAAGCCGGCACCCAGATATGCCTGCATAGATATGTTATTACATGGTATGCGGTATGATGGGGGAACTCACTGAGCTTCGTGCTTACAGTTTTCAGTTTTGTTTTAGGTACCTCTCCAGCGAAGGGGGAGGAGCCGACACGGTAGCAGCGCATCACACACATATGATTTCCATATTTTTAGATCCTTGGGATTGTACTCTAACATTATTACTATTTTATGTTATAGTTTTGAGACATGTGACTAAAGTTTTATGAAATGTTATGAATCGTTGATGTTTTCCAGTAAACTGTCCTATAAATTACTTAATTAAAAACAAAAATTTTGGTCTTGAAAATTAGGTTGTTAAAAACCCTAACTAGCATAGATCTAAACAAGGAATCACTAAGATTGAGACTTTATACCTTCTAGAAGATGATGAAGGTGAATAGATTCTGGATCCACAAGCTTCAAGCCAACAAATGCTTCTCCAAAGGGTTCTTCTTTCTTCAAGATGCACCAAAACACACTAAAACACACAAAATGCTCAATACTCTCTAAAAAGGGATTAGGGTTTCATGGGAACTGCTTTGGGACGAAGGAGGTTGATGATAGAAGAGGCCTTGAGGTTATAAAGTGCTTAAATAGGGTCCAAGCCCTAAACTTTAAGGTTTTCCTTTGACTTGAGTACGCCCAGCATATGATAGGCACGCCCATCATACCAGGGGGAAAACCCCATGTCCAAGATTCATCAAGGTACGCCCAATGTACCTTAATTACGCCCAACGTAGTTGGCCACCACGCAAAATAAATAAACACTTAGAATTTTAAGAAATTTACTTGGAAACCGGACGTTACAGCGACCGTGACACCAATGAAAATGACAATTAGGGCCAAACCTTTGACACATCCCCACCCGCGTGATAGTCTTCCCACTAAGTCTCTACAATATTTTTCTGCTTCTTTGTAGAGAACTTGTTGACCTTTATATATTTCGCCATCTACGAAGGCTTTCTCATTATATATACACAAGTTGTAACATCCAAAATCCAGGTATTTCTTTTTAAGCCTTGATGTATTTTATAGCTGCAAAACAGGACCCTCCGTACGCTGGGTGTACATATATGTACGCTTAGCGTACACAAGTGTATGCATCGGGTAGTTGAGGCTCGTACGCGAGGGGTACGAGGCCAAAGGCTAAAACCATAATTCTCAGACTTGAACCTTGTTTAAGCTCATTTATGAAATTGAACCCTCTTCCTTACCAGCCTCCTTTGCCTTTAAACATCCCTAAAACCCTAGTTGCCATTGAGAGTGATCCTTGATCTTGAAGGTGCTAAACGTGACCCTTTTTGGTGTGTTTTCAAGAAGAAGGAGGAAGTGAGCAAGTCTTGAACAAGGGAGAGCTTGTGGATCCTGCATCTAGATCATCTTGAGGAGTTTGTGGAGGTAAAAAACTCATGCCTTGCTAATTTTTTTCTAGTTTGAGTTAGGGTTTGGTATTGAGTCCATTTTTGGTCCATGTATCCTCTCTTGTGAGTTTGAGCAACTCCAGAGGTTAGAAATGTTAGATTTAAGCTCCTTGGACATGTTAAAAGCATAAATATGCTAACTTGATGGTTGTTATGGCACCATGCACGGGTTTAAGGTCTTAAAGGGAGTCTTAATGGGTAAAATTAGGTGTTGGGTTCCCATGTGGTATGCAAGGGAATAAAGTTGCCAACTTTATGCCCTAGGACCTCTTAAACGACTCAGATCTGGAATTGGACGTTGAGACTTCACCTATTAAGCACTTAATGGTTGTTGGTGCAAAAACAGCTTGTACGCTGGACGTACTAGTTTGTACGTTGTGCGTACTGCCAGAGAACCTAGTACGCTAAGCGTACTGAAGATGTACGATGGACGTACGCTTCTAGTGAGTTTTGGGATTCCGATGGGCTTTTGAGCCATTTGGGCCCTATTTAACCTTGGACCTGGATCTATTAGAGTATTGGGCCTTTGAACTTGTTATTGGACTATAGGTGGCATGGTTGGGCCTTTAGGGCCTTATGGCACATTATTGTTTTGGACCTTGGATGTTAGGCCCATTAAAGAATGAAAGACTTTTGGGCCTTATTGGAGGAGTTTTGACTTAGGATTTTGAGCCTATGTCTTGAGTTTGTGATTTAACTATAGTTAGGATAACTTGTGTATATTCAATGTGAGATTTTCAGACCAGTAGCCGAGCAGTATTTTTATCAGCAGTCTGAGGTGAGTCTTCTCACCATATCCATGGGTCGAAGGCACCAATCCCTGCCCATTACTTGTATTGTGGAATGCTAGTTCATCGTATGACATGAGAATTTATAATTGCTATATGTTTGCTTGTATGCAGACCATGGGGTTAGCCCATGGCACTTAGATGTCAGACCATGGGGGAGCCCGTGGCCTTCCAGGTAAAGACCATGGGGGTAACCCATGACACTTGGATGTTAGACCATGGGGGGAGCCCATGGCTTTCCAGGTAAAGACCATGGGGGTAGCCCATGACATTTGGATATCAGACCATGGGGGTAGCCCATGACATTCCAAGTAAAGACCATGGCGGTAGCCCATGGCAATTATATGTATGTTGCATGATATGCATTGATTGTATGTTTCTGGATATTTTGAGAACTCACTAAGATTTTGCTTACAGTTTATTTGAGTATTTCAGGTACTTCCGGTTCTAAGGGAAAGAGCCGGCTTGATGATTTTGATACTCTGATCTTTTGACATGGCATGATGTAATGGATTTTGGAAACAAATTTCTGATTGTAATTTCTATTTTAAAAATGAAAATTTTTATCTGGTTTTTGGGTTGTTACACAAGTTAAAAACATCATACATATATATCCAATCAGAATTCAAGGGTAAAATGGTCATTATGTTGACACAAGTTAAACAGATCAAATAGACACCGACATATATATATATATATATATATATATATATATATATATATATATATATATATATATATATATATTACAAATCAAACTTGCATAATTTTCATTAAAAAAACTTAGTTATCATCGTACAACGAGTGGGGTGACAAATGGGCAACAAGCTGCATCACTAAGCCTTTTTGTATGGGTAAAGCTAATTCTTTTGAAGACTACATATATAAATCTAGGGGATATAACATTGCTATGCATGATTCGTTGTACTATAATATTAATATGTACAAAATCAATATTCAAGGTAAAATACTAAAATCATTATATCGACCATTTTACATAAAGGGTAAAATGGTCATTATGTAGACACAATTTAAACAGACCAAACAAACACCAACATACCCTAACAATAACATTTTTTATTTATACAATCAAAATAAAAGGTAAAATACTATAAACATTATATTGGCCAATTTACATAAAGGGTGAAATGTTCATTGTGTAAACATGAGTTATAGCCCAAATAATCACCAACATATTCTAACTAATTATCATGTGGATGTAGGATTGATTGTGGACCAATCAAAATTTAAAATAAAAATAAATAATTAAGTAAATAAATAAGGGTAATTAGGTAATTTGATAAATAATTTGATAAATAACTTCCCCAAATACTTCCCTATAATTATGCTAGTTATTTTTAACCTAATTTATCTCTTTTTATATAACAACGGCGTCACTTTGAAAACCCCCCATGGGGATTCTGTATCTTATCGTTCGCGCACATCACTTCTTCCTTCCCACACATCGCTTCTCCTCCAGCCTCCCCTCGAAAAACAGAGAAGAGTAGAGCACCGCCGACCGAAAAATGGTTCAACGACTCACATACCGTAAACGGCACAACTATGCTACCAAGTCGAATCAACATCGGGTTGTTAAAACCCCTGGTAATTTTCGTTATTCATCACAATCTATTACCATTTTTTATTTCATCAATCGGGGTTTATGACTTGCGATGTTTGTAAATTGTTTGATTTGGTTGGGAATTTCTTCAAGCGATGTTACATTTGCGCGTTGTTTGTTCGTATGCGATTGAAATTTTATATGATTGTTTCGTTTTTTTGATAGGTGGTAAGCTAGTATATCAGACTACCAAGAAGAGGGCTAGTGGACCTAAGTGCCCTGTTACTGGGAAGAGAATCCAAGGGGTAAGCAAGTTTTTTCTTGTTTAATGTGGCCTATTAGTAGTTCTATCAGTTTTTTAGGTTAAACTTTTGGTAGCACTTGTTCCAAATTATATCAAGGGTCATAAGATTTTCATATAATCATACTATTATGTTTCTAGCTCGTAACATTCTGGTTATATTCTATCACTGTAATTTATCCGATATGAATACTTCTTCCAAGTTAAAGATAAATCAGGGGACTTAGCCATTTGATACATGTAGCTGTACTTAAATACATTGATCTTAGTTGTAGAATGTAGTCCTTAGATTATGAACATCTTGTGGTATAAACATGAGTGGAATGTGATTTCTTTGCCCAACTTCAGAATTTCATTTCCATGATGGGATAAATAGATATGAGAAGATGAAGAAAGGATAATATAATGGATTCTTAAATTAATAATATTGACAGAGGGAAGATTTTCTTTTCCTAGTTGACTTATTAGTCATATCAAAGTAGATTCTAGACATAAATCTTTGCAAATTATGACTCAATAAGAACAATAAATGATGGCTTACTCTTAGAGTGTGTTAGAAATTGAAGCTTAGTTGTTGGATATTTTCATTAAAAACTGATCATTCAACTAGATAAAAGGTTCACCCATGAGATCAACTCTAAAAAAAACAATTTTTTTTAAAGTTTTGATACAAATAATCTGTTTCAGTGATTAAAGATGTGTGATTTTTATGCAGATTTCTCACTTGAGACCTGCTGAGTACAAGAGATCAAGATTATCCAGGAACAGAAGAACTGTTAATCGTGCTTATGGTGGTGTGCTTTCTGCAGGTGCTGTAAGAGAAAGGTATGTATTTTAGTTTTTTATAAAAAAAGTAACTATTCAATGTTAAATGTTGGATTGTTGTTTGTGAAAAGTCTTTGTTTGGAAATTGGAAGAACCTTACAAATTATAAGTATATTCTTGATTGTTGTCAATTCTGCATAACTAAATTAGAAAACTGAGACAATTCTGCATAACTAAATTACAACTCATTGGTTTTGTATTTTATTACTTAGCATATATGCAACCCGTGTGGGCCGTGTGGTCTAGAATTATCCTCACATATTATGATCATATTTTATTACCTTAAATATTCTATTAGAATTACAACCCACATTGCTAATTGAAAATGTTGTATGCATTCGGCCAAAATTTAAAATATCATATATATTCTGTTTGAATTAGATGGTAATTGCACTTTAGATTAAATGATTCGATTAGAATTTGTTTTTTTTCTTTTTTTTTTGTTTATTTTTGTAATAGATGTTTCTCTCGAAATGCCACTTATTCTGACAGAATATGATTTCATGACAGTTATTCTCATAAAATGTTTTGATCAAGGACACAAATGAATGTCTTGAAGAATGGTTTGAAGACCTGATAGAAATGATTTGAAGAATGAATCAAGGATTCATCACACTTACAGTTTAAGAATGTTGTTTTTTTTTAAGAATTACACTTGTTATTCTTTCAGAATATTATTGTTCAAAAATGTTTTTTTTTGTAACACGATCATACAATGTAATTATTTGATATATTATTAGTTCAAGAATCGATTTTGTGTATTCTTTAATAATGTAATTATTCATGTTTTCTTGTTATTTATGTCTTCTTACAGAATGTCATTCTGCCAGAATAAATTCCGGTATAATTAAAAATTATCTTAGAATTAAAATTGAATTAATTAAAAAAATCAGAATTTTTAAATCAAGAGAATTAATTATCCCAAAAAATTTAGAATTTTCCTTTTTTAAATTTATCTCAATTGACTAAAATACCCTTATAGTGAAATTAGATGATATTTTTCAATTATTTTTAATTAAATAATATTTATTAATCACTTTTTTAAAATAACTAAAATGATTGGTCCACAATCAATCTTACATCCACACAATAATTAGTTAGAATACAATAATATTAATATTTATCCAATTAAAATTCGAGGGTGAACTAGTCATTTTGACCATTTTATGTAAGGGTGAACAAGTCAAACAGAGACCATATAGGCACTAAAACAAGCAAACTTCATATCAAACAGGTGGTGCGAATTCTCATATGCTAATATTTCATACCATAAAACCAGGAGGATTACCTTGATTCCTTTGTTGTAACCTTGGGTTTAGAACAATCGATAGGCTAAATGAAAACAGGTAGATGCATAAGCAATCCTTGGATTTGGAAGAGTCAATTAATCACACGTTTGTCTTCACCAACAGATAAATAGACTTTTAAACAACAAATGGAGTTATGAACCTTAATTTAGGATCATGAATTCGATTTTTGGATTGTTTTGACCTGAGTACCTGTGGATGAAAAGGTGGATTTTGAGAAACGATTTTGAGAGTGTCGTTGTTGTCTGCTTCGTTCTTCACGGGTTTTGCATCTTTATAAGACATTTTTTGATAAAAATATTTCTTTATTTTAAAAATTGATTCGGTTTCCAAAAGCAAGAAAGCGAAATTGGGGTAGATAAAATTTAACTGAGGGGTACTATGAATAGATAGAAACAGTAGAACCGATAAGAAGCATATTTAAAACCGGATTGTAGAAAATCATGATCAAATCAAGGCCGGAGTTAATGCAGTTTAATAAGTATAAGGGTAAAATAGGTATTTCACTTTGTAAAATTTTAGGCAGGAAAAGAATAGAGGGTTGAGAAAATGCCACATGACAAAAATATACTCTTTTATTAGAGCTGAGGATTTCTCCACCAAGCTTTTATTATTTCTATAAACCAATAAGTTTAAATTACTATATTGTATTTATAAAATGAGAATTATATTTGATATTTTTATGCGTTTTACATAAAAACCAACAAATCATATATGTTATTTTTTGATGTATATGTTCTAAGGTTGTATTTGGTGCGTCATAGCTAGCTGATAATCTAGCTTATTTTACGATTTTTTTTATGTTGTCATGTTTGGCAAACTAAAAAGTAGCTTATAAGCTAACTTTTTAAAAAGTTACTTAGACTATATTTTTAGAAGTTTTTTTAAGAAATTCTAAATATACCCCTTAATCCTCCCTAATAAATCAAAATCTTTTTGTCACATGTCCTCTTCTCCTTCATTTGGATACATGACATTTTCTAGAATTTTTGAATATTTTATTTTCCACTTGTCATTTTATTGTTTTTTCATTTTATTAAATTGAAATTCCACATTCAATATGCAAGATAATATATATGTAAGGTATTTATTAGAAGATGTTTATATATGTAATGTATTCAATGTATTAAAACATCATTAATTTTAATATTTCAATTTTTCTCATTTTTCTTATAAATTCAAACTTCTTAAATTGTTAAAACTTTATATTTATTCATTTTTTTAGAAAAACTCATGTAATACATTAGTCTCACACCTAGTTAATTATACAAACACATTCTTTTAAATGTCTTTTTATGTTATTTTATATCTTTCAGTTAGCTTTTCAGCTAGTTTTATCAAACGCTATTTTTTATTAGTTAGTTTTTCAGGTAACAACTAACTTTTTATTTAACAACTAGTTTTTTAGCTATCGGTTAGCTTTTCAGCTAACAACTAGTTTTTCAGCAAATACGCCAAACATAACCTAAATCTCTCGTAGATATTTTAATTAATAGATTTCTAATTAAAAAGTTTTTCCTATAATCACATTAACTACTTTCAAGTACACATCTACATTAATTTAACTATAATTAAATAAATAAATAATCATCATATATCATTAGATTTTAAAACGATGCACTTGTTCAAATCAATGACTTATAAAAAAGAAACGTCATGTTTGAATGCATGTATATATAATTGAACTTAAATATAATGATTTGAATTATCAACGTTACTATTTGTAGAATATCTAAAATAAGAAATTTAGCAAGGAAAAAGAAAAGGATAAAAACCAAAAATATAGAATATCAATTGTTAGATTGATTATTAAAATGGGAAAACACTCCTACCAAAAAAAAAAAAAAAAAAAAATCAAACTTTGACTCCATTATTTTGCCGTTTATCATAGAATTTCGTCGTCCTAGAAAAGTCAAACCTGAATTCGATTTAATGAATTGAGTTGTTCATGTTTTATTTCTCTTTCTCACACTTGCAGTCAAGTCTATGGCGGCTTTATGCTCATCTCTGCTCTATAAAATAAAACGCTTTTGGCAGTCACATAGATCAAACTGACCAAATTAAACATGAAGACATCTTTTGTCTTCCTCTTGGTTCTAACTCTAGCTCTTTCCTTTTCATCTGCATATTCTCAAGATTTTATAAGCTGCGTAGAATCCAAATCAACCAATGCGAGCTCCATTTCTCAGCTCATTTACACCCCTGGCAATGCTTCTTTCCTACCCATTTGGCAATTCGCAGTCCAAAACACAAGGTTCCTTAAACCCTCCACTCCTAGACCATCAATCATCGTGACACCTACGGATGAATCACTCATCCAAACATCTATTCACTGTGCCAAGAAACATGGGTACGAGATCAGGATCAGAAGTGGGGGGCATGACTTCGAGGGCCTCTCATACACTGCGGATGTTCCATTTGTTATGATCGATCTCAACAACATGAGATCTATAGACATAGACGTAGCTAACAGTACTGCATGGGTGGGGACAGGCGCTGTGCTTGGTGAACTTTACTACAGTATTGCACAGAAGTCCAACAACACCTTGTATTTCCCCGGAGGTACATGGCCGACGGTGGGTATTAGCGGGTTGATAGGTGGTGGTGGCACCGGAAACCTATTAAGGAAATACGCTACAGCTGGTGATAATGTCTTGGATGCTCGTATCATAGATGTCAATGGAAACATTCTTGATAGGAAGTCGATGGGTGAAGATTTGTTTTGGGCGATTCGAGGAGGTGTTGCTTCCAGTTTCGGAGTCGTTGTTGCATGGAAGTTGCAGTTGGTTCCTGTTCCAGAAAAAGTAACTGTCTTTATAGTGAATAGAACTCTCGAACAAGGTGTAACAGAACTTTTCTATAAATATCAGTCTCTTGCAACTTTTGAAGATAGAAATTTGTACATAAGATCCCAAGTGGCTTCGGAATTTATCGGCAACACCACCCAGAAAACCATACGAATTATCTTCCAAGGAATTTATCAGGGCACAACCAACACATTGCTTCCGGTGTTGGACAAAGTTTTTCCAGAGCTCGGTGTTACACGAGAGATTTGTCAGGAAATGACAAGTGTCCAGTCAACACTTGTGTTTTTTGGAAGGCCAAGCTCCACCCCGCTTGAGATTCTTACAAACCGATCTGCCATACCCAAGTCAAACAGCAAAACTAAATCAAACTTCGTCCGAGAACCGATCCCCATATCCGGATTGAGAGAAATCTGGAATAAGTTTTTTGAAAACGATTTGTCGGGTGGTTTGCTTATCATTCCTGCTGGAGGAAGAATGGATGACTACTCAGAGACAGCGACACCATATCCTCATAGAGCTGGAACCTTGTACTTGTTGGCTACTAGTGTAAATTTTGTAGGTCAAGCTAACGATACAACCCCTGTATCGCTTAGAAGATTAGCTTGGTTGCAAAGCTTAGAAGAGTTGTTGACTCCTTATGTGTCACAGAACCCGAGGGAGTCGTATGTCAATAACAATGATCTGGATATCGGTGTTGGGGCTGCTAATTATAAAGAAGCAAGTGTTTGGGGTGAGAGGTACTGGAAAAGGGACAATTTCAAGAAGTTGATTCGAATCAAGGCTAAAGTTGATCCTGAGAATTTCTTTAAGTTCCCACAAAGTATCCCGGTCTTTAAACGCCGACAGACATTAAAGATAATCATAATAATCGAGAATAATAAGGTGTGTTGGCATTTTGTGAAGATCTATAAATCAAGTGTCAAGTCCACTCTGATCTTGTTTATCCTCGTTTACTTTGTAGCATTTTATATCGTCATTCATATTTTTTGTCTTTTGCTTCCTATTTGTGTAAAAAAATAAGAATAATGAAGAATGATTTGATTTCATTTAATTAATATCGTGACTCCATTCTATGTAACAGTGTAATTATTTATGTGATTTATAGCCTTCCATTTACTACTTACATAGATTTGCCTCTTCAAGGACCATCATTTTCAGTACGTGATTATATATAACATTAATTTTTGAATGACTTATGAACAACACCCTTTAGCCAGCCGTTACTGTTCATCTGCTTGGGGCAAAGGGGCGTGAGTCATCGACTCCATTGCTATGTGTTCTTCTGCTGATCGCCTCCGCTTATTCGAGAAAACCACCAGCGCCTCTGCCTCTACCTCCATTAAAACAAACATGCCTTTGATCCTTTCAACATATTGTGGATGAACAATACCCACCTCCTCTTATTTTCTTCTCATCGATTTTTCGTCCTCTTCGCTCCCCTCTCTTTCCGTAATCGATTAGGACTCATCGCTTTTCGTCTCCTGCTTCGGGATTTGGAACATCGGTAGCACCAATGGCTGATTCTTGATGCAGACAAACCCACCATCCATCCGATTTATCGAGACACCGCCACTTCTTCCAATCTTCTTGTTGTTTCTCACCGTCGTGCTATTCCCAATTCCATGCCCCGATTGAACTCTGGAGTACGC